GAACATTCTGTGTTGCCACTTAAAATGGATATGAATGCCTCATTTCACGAGAGATGCAGGTGTGACTGAGCCAGAAAATACCTTTCCCTTAAGGAAATCTGTGTGTGCTACTCTGAAGTTAAAGGCTGTGGTGAGAACAACACAGCCATTCTAACCGAGTCAGCTTTGTCCCTTACTGGAGGTTTCCTGGAATCACAATAAGTTAATAATGTAAACCCACCTTCTTCTTGTGCTTCTTTTATTTGGAAAATATAGGTCCCCTAGAAATGAGGTGATTTGCTCGCTAGGATTTTTGATCACCTTAGGGCCTGATTCCTTCGAGAAAGAAAAGGATGGCGTTCTTAGATGTGCAGGAAATTATTTTCTGTGCCACCAGAATGAAAGCAGCTTGTGCCTTTTACTATGAGAAAATTTCTGCACCTAATGTGATGTAGAATTATAGGATGGTTCAGTTAGGAAGGGAACTTAAAGACCACAGTGTTCCAAGCCCCCTGCCCTGGGCAGGGACACCTTCACTGGCCAGGCTTGCCAGCTCACTCCTCCTGCTCCCCCACCTCAAATCTTGTTCAGCTTCTTTCCAGCATGATCATGCTCCAGTATGACTTTCCAAACTCAATTATCTCCAACTAAATAATTTAAAGCCTAGTTTGAATTTAATTTCATTCTATCCCACTGGGAGGACTATAGAGAAAGATGGCTGAACAAGCAGGAGTTCTGAGAAATCTATTTGGCTTTTGAGCTGATGAATGGTATGGTATTGACAACAGATACTTTCCAAAGGATTTCTCCAAACATGGGTATACCAGCAGGAATCTGCATTAAAAAACTGAAATTATAGAAGAGTTTAAGGATCATTTTTATATTTGAGGAAACTTTATGAAAGCCAGCATTAATGTTGGATAGGTTTCTGAACTCTAAAAAGTGCAGTCTGTATCAGTTATCTTGCCAATTGCCAGTAGGTGCTGGAAATTATTTCCTTCGGGCTCAACAATTATAATGATGACTTTTTCATTGTTTAGCCAAGATCTTCATAAAGTCCTCTGCTATAGACAGGGGCAAGGTGAGGAATCTGTATGAGATTTTCAATGAGATTGCCAGAATTTTTGTTTTGCTGTTGTTGCCTTCATCCTGACCTGATTACCCATTCTTCAAGTTAGGGAAACTCTCATCCCATACTCTCAACTACTTAGACACAAGAAACAGGCTTATATGAATTAAAAGTATGGCAGAGTTTTGATATTCATGGAAGTCTCAAGGTTTATATCATGGTATAAGTTGGTGGCATGTAAAAGTTCTGCCTTTAAGGATTTTCCTTTTGATTACTTTTTCAAAAGGAAAGATGGAAGAATTTTTCTTGAACTACACAATGTTTTGCCATTTCCGGATGCCAGTGGCTTTGAGTGGGGACCCTGATCTTCCAAATACTGCTTGTCTTATGTTGCCCAATCCTGAAAACCTCCGAGCATGCAGCCAGGTATCCTGCCAGCAGCTCTGCAGCAGCCAATGCTATTCTGCAGAATGGGGCTCTGCCCGTGTAAAAACTGAAGCAATCCAGCTTAGCAGCCAGGAAAGTGTAAAACTGAGGAGTAGGTAAAGGAAAGGCTGATGGCATGCAGACACCACAAGGAATGTATGGATTTGCCATGTAGGCTCAGCTTCCAGACTCAAGGTGTGACTCTGTGATATTTGGCAGCCTTCCATTTTCAACAGATGGCCCAGCATCCTGCATGTGCCCACAAAATAAAGTTGTGCACGCTTTTGTTTAATACTTTTGTCTGTGCAGACACTTAAAATATTCCCTGAAGAGAAACTCTTTGTTTTTACTAGTTTTGTTTGATTTTTGTTAGACTACAGCCTTTTATTTTCAGATTTTTATCTTTTAGCAATTTAATGATCAGGATTATTTTGATTTTCTGTAGGGAGGGATGGGGAGCATCCCTTGAAGCAGAAGAAAACCTTAAAACTTGAAGGGTCAGAACAGGAGGGGCATGTCAACTGCCACATCAGAGCTTTCTGTAACAGAAGGGCAGGAATTTGTGCCATAAGGAGGAGGAGAAGGAAAAACACTTAACTGTTACATGGCTGTAACAGAGACAATGACCATCTGCATAAATAGGATCAGGTTTCCAGCTTTTCTGACAAAACTATCTGGCCTTTTCCTTTCTTAATGGAGAGGCATTGCCTTACTGAACCTCTGTCTATCCACAAATTAATGTTTATGTAGAAATAACCAAATTTCCGAATCTCTGTGCTTCAAAATAAGGTACTGAAGTATGAAACTGGAAGAAACAGGCTCACAGCAGCACAGCATTTTAAATGACTGTTTTATTTCTCTCTACACGTGCTAGCTATAAATAAAACAAAAGTCTGTGAAAAATCTGCCTGAAAGCTTTAAATCAGGGAAATATTGAATCTTTATGTGTCCACAGCAGTCCACCTAACTTGGTAGACACTGGCCTGGCTCCCAGACCAAAGCTCTCTGGCAACAGCACAAAGCCATAAACACCAGATGCAGTATATTTATCAAAATGAAATATCAGCAGTTTCACACAATTGGCATTTCAGCAATGCAGCGTTCACTTAAATGGTTCCAGTGGTTTACCTTTGCACCTGAATCACAATTGCTGTATTTCTGAAGGTGTTGGTGTGGAATCTCACAAAAGCTATTTTCCCTGGCATGCCTGTGCTGCTGTCCCCTGATGTGTGTGAGCAACAGAAATTACATCTCATTCTTGCTTGCCCACTAATACCTGCCTGGTATTTTAGCAGAAATGCTGGAAAAGATGTGAAAAACGCTGCTGAGCCAAGGTATGTGCAGGCAGGCAGAGTACAAGCTTGCTTTCTCCTTATTTCCTCAGAATGAAGTAGCAGATTGGGAGTTTTGCAAATTACAGATGCCATGAAGACTCTAATGTGTATGATTGAAAGGATCATGTTATTAGCTGTGCCAGTGTCTGCCAGAGTAATTTCACAGTGGTGCTTCTGCCTTGTGATACCCCAGGACAGTGGTTCTTCTCTCTGTGTCACTTGTGCAGGTTTTCATTTCACACCTATGGGATAGTTATGTCTGGTAAACAATTATTGGTGCTGATGAGACTTAGCCTAGGCCCTTGTGTCAAGCATTACCAAGTACATATCACTGCAGAGATTCCATGCATTAAATATATATTGGCTATTTTAATAGCTTCAGTCTTAAGCATAAAGAAAGCAGGGAAAAAAAAAATAAAAAAAAAAAAAGAGAATAAGATGAAAGGGCTGTTATTTGCTCCTCCAGATTGAATTTCTTCTTGCTGTAATTGGCATTTAGTTAGAGCCACTCCCTAGCTTGTTTTATTTTGTTGATTCTTAGTTTTGTCAAGCATGCTGGGAAAGTCTGAAAGCTGGCATGGCTATTAAACAAGTTTTACTGTTTGTGTTGCAAAAGTGTTCAAGATTTTCATGGTACATGAGAAGGTTACTGAGAGTGGAGTCAGGTTCTCACTAAAGATCTTTGACGGGGCTTCAGCCTTGGTCTGATTTTTGCATAGATAGGCAAGCTGATCTTTCATGCAGTAATTTTAACTAGGTATTACTTGTACAATCCAAACTAGTTAGAGAAGGCTTCACCTCTTCTCTCCTGGTGGGTCTCCCCAGAGGGCTGTTCATGGGAAGGAGCAATGTGCTTGCTGAATGTGTCTGGCCTTCTCTGCTGATTACCAGTAGAGTCTCAATTGTTTTGCTCAATCAAGGTGCACAAAAATTTTTAAAACTTGATTCTTCACAGAGGTGTGAGCTCTCCCAGTTGTTTCTTTTTGGGTCTGAGCTCCTCCAGATGGTCAGGCTGTTTGTGTTCCCTGGGTACCACACCAGATGCTTCACCTGCAGTCTGTGTAGCTCTTGCAAAAAGGCTTCCTGGGACATGAACCCTGGCAGTTCCAGTGCTTGCTCTCTTTTGCAGAATCCAAAGATGGCTTGGTATTTAAAAATTTACTTCCAATCTGTATCAGCTGTGCAAAGGCAGGACTGATTTTGCTGTTGCACACTGCTGCTAAGTCCCTGTAACAGTTGCTTTGTACATCCTTTGCTCAAGCCTGAATCCTGAGTGAGTGATTGAGGATAACACTTGTAATTTGATCGTTTAGGAAAAAAGAAGCCACAGGCAGAGAGGACTTTGTTTAGTTAACAAACTGATCTCAGGGTTAAGCCTTTATTTTTAGTCTTAAAATTCCTATTTGGACAGTTACATAAATGCCTAATTTCAACAGCGTGAGTATGCCACAGCTTCTGTGGAATTTCAGTGGGAGTGGCAGCAGCACCCTAAATTGAGGTTAGATACTTGGATTCTTTGATATACATTTGTATGTCTAAATTTGGATTTCTAAACAAGAACAACCTCTTTCTCTGCTTTGAAGCTTTGCTGAATACAAAAGTAAGTATGAATGTGAGGCTGGTGTGTTCTCAGGTCAGCACCACCGTGTTTCCTTTGTTCTTTTTGTCCAGACCAGCTTCATCCTTTTGGGAGTGAGAGGTTGAGAGAATGACTGGGAATCCCACAAGTTTCACTGCCTAAGAACATCAGAATTCTGGTTCAGGGCCTTTAGCTTCCTACAACATGGGTTATGCCTTTGGGGATGTTAGTACAACACCACTGCAACCTACAATATCACTCTTGCCACAGGTGGGTTTGGCTCCCTACTTACTTTTATTCTATAATCTGTCGGCTTTAGGCTCTTTGCTGTGTTTCCAGACAAAACAAACTTGGCTCAAGTTCTCATCAAGTGGTGAGAAGAAAGACTGTAGTGACTCTCAGAAGCTCCAAAGAGCGCTTAATTCTTCTTTTATTACATTTTCAATTGTTTGAAGCTGGGCCTTGTTATTTGTGGGTGCATGCTGGCTACTTGTGCCATTGCACCTTAGTCTCAGCTGTTATAGTTACTGTCATAGTACAAATGATCATTTTGAACTCCCCAGCCTGCTGTCTTTGAAATGTAAAATTTCTGTATTTCTTCTGTAGATGGAGTTCCTCATGGAACCAGAATCTATAAAGTGGTGCTTAAGACTGGAGAAAGTCTGGAGGAATTCTTATTATAAAGATGTTTCTTAAAACCAAGAAATTCCTTTCCTGATGCTGAATTGTTCCCATTCATAGTGGAGGACAGGAGTGAAGGATCAAATCCAGCTTTCAGGCTTGTCTTCTTTCTCCCTGAAATGCTTTATTACAGAACTCAATTAAGAGCAAATTTCCCCCTCCAACTTACATCTAACAAGGTCATGCCTGCCTTTATGAAATATTGAATCTGCAGCTGCAGGATTTATTACAACAGTATTTTAAAACACATGATGCTGGTGCAGCATCTCTAATTAGAAATGCCCTGAGCTCACTGTGCAGGCCAAGTGTTGTTTCCAAACTGCAGCATCCACATCAAGAGGCAAGTTTATACATGTTGGAAGGACAAAGAGAGATACCTGTGGGAAAAAACTGGAGTCTGCTGAGAAGTGCTGCTGTGCTGTTATTTCTTACTTCTTTAATTTGAATTAGCTCAGTTTGAGACAGATTTTTGCCTCAGTAGCATTACTGAGTTGCAGCAGTTTAGTGGAGAGGGAAGATCAGGGCTAAAATCTTCAGCTTTGTGTTACAGTGTGACCAATTACATACTTTGCCACAGTGGCCAGTAAGAAGTAATTAAAATGGAAGATGGACTGATGCTGGATGTTTATCACAGTAAGGCTGCTCTGTTTCCCTTGTGAGGAAATCTAGCAGGCAGACACAGGAAAAGACAGGAGATGAATACACCAGAAGAGTTCTGTTGTACACTACAAATTGCCCACTGCGGTACCAGACAGCCTGTGTTGATCACACACCTAAAGAACATCTCTTTTCCTTGAATATGAAACATGGCAAGCCACTGTAGGAGGGCTCAGGATTGACACTGCTGTCCTGCAGGGATAATTAGGAATTTACCAAAGCAGAGCAACTGACGCCTTGAGAGACGTGAGTATGATTAACTCCATAAATACGTATTATGAAATCACGGGCAGTGTTCTAAGTGTAATGAATTTCCCCTGAGGGAAAATATGCCTGAGTAAAGAAATCAGAAAGAACTTGATGCCAAATGCAGAATGGAAGGGAATTACTGTAAGGCTGGAGTCTATCCACATTTTTTTCTCAGTAGTTTTTTTCCTTTGAAGACTCAAATGAAGAGTTATTTCTCTTCATTTTATTATTCTCTAATCTCCAAAATCTGTATCACTTTCCTAAAACACACTAGCATGTATCATGTGCATATATAGCATTCCCTGGGAGCCTTGTTACTGCTTTATAGTCACTGCAGGTGAATTTGTTTATAAAAAGGCAAGCACCTACTTGAGACAGCATGAGTATAAGTCAGTATTTGCTCCTGTGCTGAAAGTGGATTTCTGAGTGTTATAATATAAAGGAGATGTCTTTTTTTCTACAAAACTGTGAGACCAAAGAACCCTGGAGGTGAATTCAAGCAGTCCTCATAAAGACTGTTTATAATAAAGTCTCACTTCTCAGACATGAAGGGCCTTTGACATCACATCTGGGTTACCTGCTTGAGTTTGCAAATTAGCCTTAAAGCTTCTGGTATTTCCATGGCGTCCAGCCTTGCCTCAAGAAATCCTAGTGTAAGAGCCACTGAAAAAAATTCCTAGACAGTCCCTTCTTGTCAGTGTGTCCTGGCAGAAGGTGATGAGTTATTCCTGCATCCCAAGGACCCTTGCTTGCAGGAGCATCTGCTGGCAGCAGACACAGCACAGAGGAGCTCATGAATTGCCCCAGTGTGAAATCAGGTTAGAGAAGCACAAAGCTGTCTGATTCCAGCCATTATGTCCCAAAATCTCATTCTGGCAAAGGGTGGAGTCAGTCAACTGAAAAAACTGTCCTTCTGTTATTTCCATTCTGATCTCAATGTTTCTTTACTATTCCACAGTGTTACTTCACTGGTAAATATCTTAGAGCAGGTTTTTTTTCTGTGCGCCTTTCAGAGCAGAGAGAAGGACCAGTGCCAAGTTAAACTGATCTGCAGAATGCCAGGTTATCTGTGAGAGAAGGCTCGTCAGCGTCAGTTTTCAGTGCAATGGGTAAAAAGCTGTAATTCCTTGGGGCTGGCTTGGTTCTGCCAAGAGGAGACAACCAGTGTAGCCATATCTTCAGTCCTGTGTGCAGTCAGGGTCCTGACAGCACTAGGCATTCTGCTGAAGTGGATTAAATATATGGTTTGGTTTTTTTTTTTTAATAAGGAAGAGCATTAACAAGCCATATAACTTCACTGGGCACTTCTGCAGTGAGCTTTATAAGGCCTAATGGAATGAGAACTTGTTTCTTGTCCAGTCTTGATTCGACTGGGTTCAGCATGTGCTTAAGAGCTCTGCTGAGTCTAGGCTGAAAAATAACTTTTCACGTGGGAATACTGCAGGAAGGATAGTGATCACAAGGGTCTGGATGATAGCAAAGGCTTCACTCAGCCCGCTCCCTTTGAGCCTCATTTCATATTGCTTTGACATTAATAAGATGTTGAGATGTAGACTTCAGCTGAAGTAGAATTTTTCATCAGATTTCTTTAACTTGTTTTTTGTCCCTGTTTGCCTATGTGTGTCTTTCTAGACTCAAGTACTTCAGAGAAATTGTATTTTAAAAATCCTTTTCTAGCTGCCCCTGAATTTTCAGTCATGACTTTTATCACATTTAAATACTATTTGATTTGTAGATGTTGGCTGATATTTGGGCTGATTAATTTCACATACTGATTTCTGGAAACTGCAATACTCCATTTCACAGACAAATACTGCCCCAGTATATGGAAAATGGCAAGCAAAGCAATTCAGCTGCTTTGGGGCTCCCAAGTAGAGATGCATTAAAAAAATCTGGCTTTTCTGCATGTTTCCACCTTCTGAACTTCTCTGCAGCTATTAAATTGATAAAAATACAGATTCTCAGATAGTTTGTACATTTGAGAGTTTGTGACATACTAGGGTATCTCCAGAAGACAAGTCTGATACATCTGTATCTAACATCTGTAAGGTATCTATGTTTTTTTTCCTAGGTATCTCTCAGAAGGTGCCTTAACACTTCTCTGTTGTACTCAAGCCAAATTAGAAGCAATTGTTTGCTCTAAGCTAAAATTCTGATCCAGCTGAGAGCAAGAGAGGTTTGGTTGGTGGGAGTCAGGTATTTGGCTGGTTTCTTTCAATTGTTATCTGCAACATGCTTCTTATTTTGCTTTTTGAATATCACTGAGCTTCCTCAGTAAGAGGTTGTAATTTATACAGCTGGAGCCTGAATGAGCCTTTGATCACCAGCTGTGGTTGCTATTTCTGTCTATTCTTCTTCACTTCAGACACTAATAGTCAATGTGCCCCGTGGATCCACAGGGTGCTCACTCTTGTTGTGGCAATATAATTTAGTGGTTAGTGTGCAATCCTGTGTCTCCCACACACAGGATTGCTTTGTGATTGGCATTTTGTGTAGTAAAAAGGGGATGAATTGAAAACTTCATCCTGAAATATACGTGCATACTCAACCTAGGTAGCTTTTCAATTCAGCCCAATAAAACAGAATTTATTTCCTCTCTGGTAGTTTCAGTAGATATTGCTCAGAAATACTGTTTCTTTTAGACAACCCTGCAACTCTTCCCTCTTACCACCCTAGCATCTGGATATAGATGGAGGCTTTTTGATTTGTGCAGAATATTTAATTACCAGAGTTCAAAGACTCTTCCAGAATGCTCTGGGCAGTACCAAAACTGGATTCCTCCATGAGTAAAAACTCAGAGTAACTTCATTGACTTAAAAGAAAAAAATTGCAACTGCAGTTGGCCTGAGGAGTTTTCAGTTCAAGCTCCATGACTTTTCTCAGATGTTTTTCTTAAGCTGGGAATTTTAGAATTGTTAGGCTCATCCCACAATGATCTTGGCCTCTTGGGTTCCTCTAAAGTAACAGCTTTGTAAAGATGAATTCCGTGATCTTGTGAGCAGCTCAGTGACTTTGTTGGCCAGTGCATTTAGAAAGCTGCTGTCAGTCTGGCTGATTCAGTTCCACAGGACATCTTGATTTTTTCCAGTGCTGCTCTTATTACTTTATTCCTGCATGTCAGGTGGTGTCTCTAATATATAATAGTTATTTTTCTTCTGTCTTTTTCTAACTTCAGTCATACTTCAGTGTGAATACTGTTTGCAGAGACATTGTTTGGCTTGGTTGTAAACTCCCTATTTGATTGCTTCCTCTGCTTGCTTGGTCCATCAGAGACCTGTTTCTCTAGACATCTCCCTCCTGATACATTTCAGGTTTGTTTGGTTTTTTTTTATTTCTTCTGGTAATTTATTGTCTTGGATTTTTTTTTATTATATGTTTCTCATTTTTCCTGTCAAAGTCCATTCCATCTATTAAAGACAGATGAACTGGATTTACAGTGCCTGAAATATTGTTTTAGCCCTAGAGCTCACCCTCTGCCACACCATTAGAAATTATTGCAACTTCTCCATTTCTTTACTTTAGAGAACCCATTGAACTCAGGCAGACATGTGGCACTTTTCTAGCAGGAGAATATTTATTTAATCCCCGTGTAGAGAAGCAGAGAGTGAAATCCTAAATCCATTCAAATCAGTGGGGCTTTTCCTGGGTTCCAGCTGAGTTGTGGCTTAATGATCAGCTTTGTGGTCTGTAGTCAGCCTTGCAGCAAGAGGAGAGAGGAAGCACAGAGCAAGATTTTCACTCCCATGTCCTGGCAGTGTGCTACAGCAAGAGGTGGGGGACTTGAAGGACCAAGTTTTCTTCTGGTTCTGGCACCAACCTCCTAAAAGATACTTTAAAATTCATGTTCTCACATTTAGGCTGTAAAACAAGAAGGTTTCTTGGCAGCACAGCACAGTTTGAATGCATAGTTTTGCTGGTGTATTGCAGTTGTAGCTGAGGTTCTGGAGATGAATGTCGGCCTGGGACTTGCTAAACCCACAAAGCAACAGATAAGCCTAAACTGAGTTGGTTTTTTTCGGGTGCTTAAGTGTTTTGCCTGGAGGGGGCCCTAATTTATTCCCTGTGAATTGTGACGACATGTCCCACTGAAAGTCCCCTGGTTTGATGGCAAGCCCGGTTTATTCTCCCAGCAGAGAAGTTTGCTGAAATGAGGTGGGTTAAAAAGGCTTCCCCCTATTGCTGTCCCTTGCTGAAGAGCAGCTTGAACAGCAAAAACTGTCAAGAGCGCTTATTCAAAGAAGCAAGGTTGGGAGCTGAAGATAAGAGCATTTATCTCCATGTCAAAACTACTCAGTGTCTTCACTAGACTCCCAACACACCAGTAACAAGGGGCTTAGGCTGGAGATGCTGGAATGCCGGGAGTCCAGGGGGTGGTGTTTATCCCACCGAAACATGGCACACATCAAATCTATTACACGGTGCGAGCGTATTCCCCCCATCACCAGCCAGTTTTGTGAGCTTGGAGAAAATATCTTCTGCTGGGCACTAGAGGAGTCTCCTCCCTTTGGATGCTGATTTAGTTTGAAATGTATATTAGGGGAGAGAGAGAGAAAAAAAAAGAGGGAGACAAGACGGAATCTCTTATGTTCTGCAGCAAATTGCCACATTGATCTTGTCACTTGGCAGACACAGTTGGACTTGAGGCTGTGAGTCTGTGGGATGTGCTGTATTTCTGTCATGAATTGTCAGCCTCAAAGAAGCTCAGGAGAAAGAGAGACATGGTATCAGAATAGAAAACCATTAACAAAGGGACCAGCAAGCTGTTTAACAGCAAATCACAGCAGTTGCATTTTTGGATTGTGCTTGTCTTCAACAGCTACAAATGTGCTTTGTCCTCATCTCCTCCCCCATGAAATGCTGCTGGGGAGAGGTGAGACATTAGGGAAGGACTGGTGTTTCCATGGAGGCTGCTGTTCTTCGTGGCTAATGGCACCTGCAGGTCCCAGAGGAGCCCTCAGCCTGCCCTGTGCCTGCCCTTATCCCACTCCCACAGCCCTCCCTGGAGTCACAGCTCCTCTGTGTGGGTTTTTCCTCTGGGTTTGCACCCCGAAATGACAAGCTGTGTTACACATCATTGATGGCCAGCTTGGGAGCTGACAGGATCACGCTTAGAGTCTGCAGGGACCTAATCCTGGAATCAGAAACTTTCCTGAAATAAGTCTGTCCATCAGGAATCAATTAAAATCCTGGTTTTGCTTAGATGACTGCCCTGGAGGCACTGCAGGTGGGGGCCACAGCCAGACAGCTGGAGCAGCATCCACCAGAGGTGCAGCCCAACCCAAACAAACTGAACACTGGCAAACTCATCTGAATGAACAGCAGGCCTTGGGCATCCCTCTGCCTGGATGTTTGTACCACGCTCTGTGGAATGATGTCAGTGCCTTGGGATGCTCTTCCTCCTCCCGAGCAGAACCAAAACACTAGAGAGCGCCATGGATTTGCAGATTTTGGCTTGTGAAGTGCAGTCTGAGGCTGTGAGTGCTCCTTAAGGGGGAGGATGTAGAGGGAGCTGTGCTCGGGATCCAGCCCGGACTCTGCTGGGTGCTCGGTGCTCGGGAAGACTTGGGTATGGAGAGCTGGCTTCCCTTTGGATATGGGAGCTGCAGATGCAGACCAGGATGAAATGTCCCAGGAGGTGCCCATGAGGAGCTTCACAAGAGGACTGACTTTATTTTTGAGCTCACACTTCCTAGTCCTCGTGAAGAAAAATTTTAATTTTCAAGTCCTTCAATACATGAACAATGTTTAATATTTCAGTACGTTTGAGTGGCTGAGTCATTTCTTTAAAAGCAAGCTGGATCAGATTGTTTTGCTGTCTCTTATTCCCAGCCATGCAGAAGTCATGGACTCCACGAGGGCTTCACTTAGGCTCTACCCTCTCCTTCCTTGTGGGAGGGTGAGAAGCTCATGAGCATTTTAGCAGTGCCCCTGCTGTTACAGCATGCTCTGTCCTGTATCTTCTCCCATCGTCCAAGGCCACCTGAAGCTCCCCTCTGCCCTGACTTGGGGAAGCAGTCTGCGTGGAATCACGCTCCTCTTAATCACTGATCATGTGATGCTGATGACTAAACCTTCATTATAATGAGCTGTCCTTTTTTTAACTCCCCTA